GGCTGCGATTTAGGGTTTACGTCACAGGACTAGGTGTTCGGGATCTTTGGAGTTTAGGGTTTACGATAGACCCTGATGTCGGATACACTTCAACCCCTAGCCGAGCTTCACTTGTCCCTGAAGCATGAGCCTTCCGCGCAGTGGGCACGAACTGTCGGAAGAGGCCTTGGCTGCACTGCGTGACCCGTTGCTGGCAACGACATCTCATGACGAGCAGTTGGTGCCTCCATGTTCACGCGTCCGTGGCGTGCCGATGCGCCCTCTTTCAACTGGAGCACCCAGGCTGGCCTTCTGCAAAGGAAAATTAAATGGAGAGCTGTTCACTCTGCGCGCCAGGTCGTTGGCAAATTGCTGCGCGTAACTGGGAGTGCAGCGACAAGTGGTTGCGCTTGCGAGAAGCGCACGCGACTGTTTCTTGAAGTGGATACTTGAGATTCGAGTCGCGCAGGAAAGGATGCAGTCACTGAGATCTTCTGGTGCATGGCCCAAGCTGTCCCCATCACCCTTCGATGGAGCGGCAGCGAGCACTTCTTGGGAAGAGGATGATTTGTTCTGTCGTGTGGCATGGATGTGTTGTGCCGGGCGTGTGATCAGCACTATCTTGCAGTCAACTATAGTTACACTTGCAGCTGGAGCATTGCTGACTTTCAGTACCTCAGCGATATGCTGGAGCTTAGAGTGTCTTTGGGAGTGGCCAAGACAATGCCAAAGGAGGCGATCGCTACATGTGCGCGGGATATGGAAGTCAACCCGATAAGGAAGTTACGGAAAAAAACCCAAGGTCCAGCCCAAGCTCAGACGGGCCGAGAATTCCTTGGCAAGCATTCTCAAAATACGACTGGGGCGGGCGCCATCCGTACTCATGGACATTACACTCCTTTAGTTTCCTGACCCGTTCCCCGTTGTGATTTCCCTGCGAGTCTGGATATGAGTTTTTTTGTTTTCTGTTCATGATTTTTCAGTGTCTGTTTTCCAGTCTGTGAAACGCTCTGGGACACTCAAGACTGATGCGTCCGGTTTCGGGAGTTACGGTCCAGGGTTGTTTTGGTTTGAACACGCAACCGTCCTTGGCGAAAAACTTGAAGCCTAAAACTTAAAAGTGCACATGGCACCAAGGCCAAATGCCAGGCCCAACTTCCCTCAACGCGAAACCCAAAGCCCACACGTCACAAAGATCCCTCAACCCTAAACCACAACTGACCATAAAAAGCGGCGCACGACTAAACGCCCGATTGCTCCGGTCTTGCTTCATTAACCCGATCTGTTTTGACCAAGGTTCGAGGCATGGATCCGGATGTGCGACCTGGGATGCCGGGAATACTTTTGTGGCGGCCTCAAGAGCTTTGCTTTTGCAATTCTGGGTTTGTGGACGGGAATGAGGCTTGGAGGACTGTGTTTTGCGTTTTTAAGGCTCAGAGGATCGACTTAGACCCGTGGCCTGAATTTTAGGGATCCCAGACTCTAAATCCCTCCTCAACACTTCTCATCCCCGGGAACCTGAGACCCCAATCTTTCAACCCTGCGTCCCAAAAAGCCGTTCTTCAGGCAGATACCCGTGGATGCTCCTAGACATGGTTGCGGAGCCCTGAGCTTTACGTTTGGTCAGGCTTTGGAGGTTTGGAGTTTCAGGTCTTGCGGTTTAGGTTTGCCCGTTTTGGGCATGATGGTTCCGAGTTGTGGGTTTCAAGGTTTAGGCTTTGACGCTTTCGATTTTAGAGCTGTGGTGCTTCGGGAGTTCTGGCCTAAGTTGAAATTCACAACGGAGGTTGAAGAAATCACGGACTAACTGGTGCGAGAAAGTTACCTCTATGGGTACTGCTAACTGCTGAACTGTCTGTGCCTATTTATGGTTAATGCTTTAACATTCACTATTCATTGGTGCTTCGGGTTTTGCTCTTCCAGCCCCGGCTCTCCAAAAGGTCGTGACGACCGGCCTGGCTGACGTAAGCCTACCCTTTTTCCTGGATGCAGAGATGGAAAGGCAGTCGGTGCTTTGGCTCCTGGCTTTTGGGAGTTCTGGAGGGTGTATGTAAGATCCAAGGTTTGGGGTTCGTCGTAAGAAGGACCTTTCGCAAAGAAGAAGTACGGTCGGAGGGCTTGCAATGCTTTGAACTGTAAGCCGGATCCCAACATCCTCGACCTTCGTGGCTGGGATTGTTCGACATGCTGAAGTAAGGCTTAGGGATTTAAGAAAGTTCAAGACCAGAGCATCCCTGAACTGTGTTGTTGGGCAAGGCGAATTGCGAATTGCCCTAAACTTCCAAAACTTTCCAGCCTGTACCATAAACCCGATGCGATCATGCCAAGCTGTTGTCCGGATGTGATCTTGGCCTGTTCCGGTAATAATTGTGTGGCAGATGACATTCTTCAGCGTTGACCGTTGAAGCACGCGTTGTAAAAAAACTTGTGAGATTTTCGAAATCCGTACGTTGTGGAACTGGGCGGAACAAGCTCAAAACCCGCAAGAACTGAACCGTGGTGTAAATCCTACGGCAGACGCCCGATGCTCAACCCATCCCATCCTCCAAACCACGAGCTCCGCGGACCCCCAAACCCTAGAACCAACCAGATCAGAAAGTGGTCTGAAACCCGCAACCTACTTCCGATGGTGCAGAAAAGGTCAGGCATAAGGGTTGGGTACATTTTAAGGTTCGTCCAGCGCGTGCTTGGAATTTCGAGGGTTTTACAACTTGCTTAGACCGTTGCTTGGGGTGTTCAGCTCAAGAGTTAAGGCTTTACTGTTAAGGGTTCAGGGTTTCAGACTTGGGCCCTCAACTTTACTTTGCGTCCAAGGTGCTTCCTTTCCTGCGCCTGTTGCGAGTATTGCGGCTGTTGAAGATCTTCCAAGTTTGACGCAGCCTCGGATGCCGACGGTCTGTTTGGCTGTCGTCCCTAACTCATCCAATCTGAGGCCAGCCGCTGCGAATTATCGGGCGCGCCGTCGTGAAGGCATTTGGTGTTGTGGTGCTGGTCGGTCTCGTCAGCGCCTCAGGAACTGAAGCCTCGGAACTTGTGGAACCGTCCAGGATCTCGATCCCGAACCTTTTACCGGGACCTTTGTTCCAAAACAAAAAACGGGGGAGTCCTGAAGCGGTGTCTGGGCTGTCTTGACGATCACCTTCTGCTGCAGTTGCTTCTGTGACAGCTTCTCTTGGTCCTCCTGCTGCTTCTCCTATTACTTACTCCCACTAAGACGCCCGCCCCTGCCCCTACACCACCACTCCTCCTCCTCCTCCTCCTCTTACAACACCAACAACAAAAACTAGTAGTAGTAGTAGTAGTAGTAGCAGTAGTAGTAGTAGTAGTACTACTACTACTACTACTACTACTACTACTGCTACTACTACTACTACCTACCCCTACCCCTACCCCTACCCCTACCCCTACCCCTACCCCTACCTCTACCTCTACCCCTCCCCCTAACGCTACCCCTGCCCCTACCCCATACTCCTACCATTCCCACTCCCACTCCTTTATCGCTACTTAATTCCTACGACCAACAGCACTACCACTACCACCACGAACCGCGACCATGACCAGCCCTGAACACATTGAAATCCATCTCAACCCTGAGTTTGCGCTGCATTTTGCAAGACCCGTGTGCAGACTCCGACAAAGACCTCAGAACAAAAACGGAGTCTGGGGTTTCGGGTTTAAGTTTAGGGTTATGGGCTGCAGGGCCGCAAGTTTGAACAAAACTGCTTGAGTCCTGCACCGTAAATCAGAAGGAGTTTGAGACCGATCGTGTAAAACATGTAAAACCTTAAGTCTAGACTTAGACTTGGGCCCTAAGAGCACGAAAATCCGAGGCTGTATGTGGCCTCAAAAACACCTTGGGCCCTAAGAGCACGAAAATCCGAGGCTGTATGTGGCCTCAAAAACACCTCGAAGAACAGTCGTCCGGAATGCTTCGACACGCCTGGCGTTTAGTACCTGTGCTCGTACAGCAGCCGTCACGGTGTCCTAACAAGTAGAAGCATGGAGCATGTGTGGAGTGCCGGCAATCAATACTCCGCTTCTGAACTGTCTAAGGTCGTTGGCGTGTTAAACTTCGGCCTTGCCATTATCCTCACGACCCTCGTGGGACAGAGGCATCATACAATCGAGTCTCACCGCCTGTCGGATTCTCTGGGGCTTGAAGGTACTCTCCCCTAGGTCTCCCTATTGTACTTAAAGTATAAAACAGCACTCCAAGCCCATTGTGCTATGAAAGGACCCTTTGAAGAGCTTCAGAATGCTGTCAAACTCCAAGCTGGTTCATGTGGTGTTGCATTGCTTTACCACTTAAGCTTCCCGTGGAAACCCAACTCCCTGCACAAGTCTAAGCCTCCAAAGCGGCATGTAATTCTTCAGACTGAAACTTCATGCTGCCCTTGCACCTGCCTGAAACAAGGGTTCCGTTTGAAGCTGTGAAGGACAACGAGACTGGTTTCTGCAAAGAAGAACTCGTAGCACACATCATCACCAATGAGATCTGAACATTCCCGGAAGGCAAACGAATTTCTTGCGACCCACCTTCATCGAAGTCTCGATGAACACTCGAACCTACAGCTTCTGTGTCCGACAGCTGTTCATTCATGGTCAGCAGAAGAAGACGGGAAGCAAAAGGATGCGTAGCCACCCTTACCACCGCCATCGTAATCTGTCTACGGCTATTTGCAATTCGATCGCCGACGCCCTGAACCCTAAATCCTGAAGCATACACCTACAAACGCTAAACTTCAACAGCGCCAGGGCTACCCCGTGGGCCGTCGACGAGACAGAGGAGGATATCGAAACTTGGTTCGGATCCATCGGCCGTTCCATGCCGCTCGGCTCGTCGCCTTTGCTAAGAAACCTCGCCTGGTTTAGGACCTTTAGCATTTCACGGGTAGCTTGCTACCTTCTTGCTACCGCCACCCTTGAACCACATCCTCGAAGGGGTTTGGTTCTCGAGCAGATGTTTCAGTTGTTAGAATTCTGCTGAGTGTGGGTTTGCGCCAAAACGAGATGCTTGGAGCATGGCGATCCGAGGGCAGGGGGCTTCAGGCTCGTGCTGTGTTTATTATGGTTTTGGGGAGTCATTGTCATGGTCGCGATGACTCACTCATCACCATCAGGAGCAGCAGCAGGTGTAGCTCGATCATCACCTTTAGTTACAGGATGTTCATTCTCAGCGTCACCATCATCGCCCACATTGGCCTTGCCATCATCGTACAATCATCATCATTGTCTCCAAAACCGGGATGCTGCACCCATATGTCCACGGTATCTGATCAAGGCAAACCCTGTTCACCATCCAGACGCTCTCGGGGTGGGACCACATCGCTGCGGTTCTCAGCGGGGTCTATCCCAGCACCGTTGTGGTCCCTCTCATCATCATCTACATGATGCTTTGCTGCTTCGCCGTGATCGGGCTGATCACCAGTGTCATCAGCGACTCTTTCATGGCCTCCCAGCAGAAGGAGCAGAAGAATCAGGAGATTGGAAAGGCCCTGAGGTACGAGAACGTGACGCGGCACCTGGAAGAATGGTTCTTTCAATATGGAAGGCAGGTCCTTCTTTCTTTTTCTGCAAACTGCAATTGCCCAACAGTTTTAGCTTGCGTCGAAGTGGTGTGAAACCTATTTGTGGCCCCTTCTTCTTCGAAGATGTCAGGAATTCCTTATTGAGGGAGCAATCTTAGTACCTACCCTAGGCAGCAGATTGCACCCGCATCTAAAACCAGAGAATCCCACGCTCAAGCCGAAAAGCAAGGGGCAAAGAGCAGCTTCAGAACAGGCTTGCTGTAGCCTCAAAACTCTTATGCCAGTTACAGAGACAGACCGATACTGCACCATATAGTCAAGTCCCTGGGTCATACTCGTAATTAGATGCCCTAAATAATGCAGGAGTATTCGGACAAATCAAACAAATACTGGGCAGTCCAGGGTACTGATCTCTGTGGGTAACGGACAGCGCCTCCTAGGATGTGGCCTTCGCCTTCGAATGACAAATTCCGCAAAGGCAGACCCACAGCCCCAGTAAGGGTTTAATTAGGGTCTCGGGGTCTCGGGGTTCAGGCTCTGGAGTTGTTCAGCGCTCAGGGTCGAAGTGCGAAACAACTTGCAGAGCCCGTACACGACACGGCACCTACAAAACGCTGTAAACGCTGCACAGGGATAACCTAAATAGACAATAGGTGAGAGCCGATCAAAAACCCCTAAGAAACCTCTACTAAACCAGCTTCGACTCATCAAAAACCATTTCTGACAGGAGTCTTCCCGGATGTATTGGCCGCGACGAGTTGGAGAAAGCCCTCTCAGAGCCACAGGTGGCTTGGCAGCTAAAGCAGGATCTTAGGGACTGGGCGTTTGGCAGAATAGGGTTTAGACTTGTGGTTCACGCAGTTTTGCGATTGGGAGGCAAAATCTTCTACTCATTCTACTCGTACCGGTACCGAAGGAACATCCATAAGATTAGAAAAGGTGCCTTCTGAAGGGATCCGTAAGTAGGGGACGTTCCAAGGGGGTGAGCCCAAAATCCTGGACTCCCAATGCCTCTCAGGCAGACCGTGTCCAAGCAGTTGCATTGTATCCACCATCCCTGCAGCCTCGAGCTTTGAAATACCCTACCCCTACACCCTGATCCCCCAACCCTAAATCCCTTCCCGCAAAACCTTATAAACTACACCTTAAAACCCTGGGCAAGCCCGCCTGAATCTTGAAACCCCTGAACTCTGATCAATGAAACTCTTAGTTGACACTGAACACTGAACCGCTGAAACCGAGACTTCCGAGGTGAGTTCCCTGTTGCTGAGTATGGAGCGTCCGGCAAAGAAGACTGAGATTCTGAAGCTCTACGACCGCATAAACAAGGACTCCACCACAGCCTTGTTATGGGTTTTAGGACTTTTGGGCTTTAGGGCTTCAGGGTTGAAGCTTCTAATGATTCTAATGCTTTCAAGTGTTTACGGAAGTTTAGGTCTGAGGGTTTGTTTTTGCCGCGGTTGCACCGAGGAGGTGGTCGAGTTTGTATGTCTTTGCATGAATATATGCGTCCCAATATGACTGGTGTCTCTCTCGAACACGCGCCTGATGTTCTAGGCTATGCCACAAAGAGTTCGCTTTCTTTTGAAAAAGTTTGAAGATGACCTTGGTCCCAGCTCGTTTCGCACATTTTTTTCATCCTTTCCGCCCAATCTCCACATCTTACCAGATCCCTGAACCCGAGCACCTGTCCCTAACCCTCAAGATGTGCACTCCTTGACCCTCAAAGCCTCAACTTCGGAACCCTAAAAATCCAAACCATAAACAACGAAGGAGCATGAATCCTGTTACCACGTTTGCCACTCGACGGTCAATAATCTTAAAACCCTTTCACCCTAGGCTTCGGCTCGAGGTAAGCCCCAAAACCCTGACGCCCGAGCCCGCCACTCTAAGCCCTGAGCCCGCGGAGAACCGAAAGCCCAAAGCCTCGCGCCTTTCAGCCGCAATGCGCTACCCTGACCCATAAAGCCCAACAAGGCACCGGAGAACATATACACCAAACTGTTGAACCTTAGTCCACTGTAGGCATATCGCCCTGGACACTAGCTGTGTAGCCTGAGACGATGGCTCTGCAGGAGCCCTCTTTCAGTGGCCGGGTTCAGGCCGTTCATGGAGGGCGTTGGGTGCGCTTCGGAGTTTCAGAATGACGATTGCGTTTTGTAGGAGTGGATACCACGATGGGTAATTGCAGTGCTTCTGCAGGGTTCATTAGAGGGATTGCTTCTTGTAAGGGGTCTCGCCGTTTTGCCAGTCTAAGTTGCAGAAGGTTTTCGCCTTGTCGAAAAAAGTGGAGCTATACATGACCGACGATTACGTCTGTGTTCCGCTCTCTTCGTTTTGTTGCACGGAATCCGACGTCAGATTTGGTTGCGACTTCGTCGTAAGTTGGTAGCCTGCGTGGTGTATTCCTCACTTCGCAAAACCACCTTTGTTGCTATCTTGGGCCTTGGGCGTGTTGCGTTTTTTACGTCTTTGCTGCTGTCGGCATTTTGCGCTTCCGGTATCGGTGACGTTGTCTGCTTGCTCTTTCGGGTGCTGGGTTAGGTCGTCGGGGGGCGGTGGTCTTTAATAGCGTTCTGTTTCTGAACACATCTGGAGTATGAAGCCTGGCATTTTTTCAAAACGAAGGAACCTTAAGGAAACGACAGGCCGCCAGGGCGAGGCTTCCTTGTATGCACCGGCCATAGCCCTAACCCGTCGCATACAACCCAGATGTCGCAGAACATGCACCCTCGGAATAGCAATCGCAGCAGCACTAGCGAGACTCAAGGCAGCGCACGGTTCAGTCATTGTGAGTGTACTCACCACACACGAAACATCAGAACACCTACTAGCCAACAACCAACCAAAGTTTCTTCCCAAGACATAAAGACCCGAAACCCTGAAAGCAGCGACACAAAACCACCCCGGCAACGGAACCCGGGTTTTCGGCCCTACACCATTCCTGGCCTCAAACCGAAAAGGGGAAGCCGAAGAGTCTTCGGCTTAGGCCTTTTCGGTTTGAGGCCAGGAGTCGTGTAGGGGTTTCGGGCTTGGTGGCTTCATGTGTCATCAATGCTTCGCTGATGCCTTCTTTTGCGTTCCTCGGCGCGGTTTGTTGCTTCACATATTGTCACTATTGCCAACGGTTGCAGTGTTAGCACGATCACTATTATTATTATTATTATTATTGCCTTCATGTCGTAGTACTGGTGGACCACCACCAGGGGGTGGGCATCAAACAAATGTCAAACAGGGATCAAGCCACAAATCAGAAATGGACCGACGATGAATCAAATAAGGATCAACAAAAATAGCAAACTGTAAATTACGGTATTTGGACGCATACTTCGAAACGGTTCCTGCTCTATTGCCATTATGTTTACTGCTACTGTCACCCACGCTAGTATATTGTATCATGCTTTGTCCAGTGCAGCAGCATGTCAATCATTGCAGCGATGAGTACGGTTTCAGGTGCTATTACTATGGTTATGGTGATGATTATGATGATAATGACTTCCATAATTATGATGCTGCTGATGACTACAATTATTACATGATGGTGATGACCATGATGATGATGATGATGATGATGAGGATGAGGATGATGATGATGATGATGATTGTTAGAACTTGTATTATTTCGAGTATCGCTTTTGTTTTGTTCGGCATTGGAAATGCAATTATCATGTTCACTTTGCCGTTTCTATTGCCTGTTGCCGTTATTGATACTGTCACTTTGGAATACGCATACGCTGCTGCGACCAATACTACTGCGACCTCAACCATCCTCCCGGCACCGCGTCACTCTTTCCCCCCAGCCCCCCACCAAGAAAACAGGATCACCAAGCCAAGCGTCAACGCACCACAGTGCTGCGATGCTGGTAGGACAGTTAAAACGTTATCCTAGTGTGATTTGTTTTATCCCTGTTTGATTTTGTTTTGATCCGGAAGTTGGTACTCCTGGGTATACCCTGAAGGAGACATGATATGGAGACATGATATGTTGAGTTTTGTTGATCCCTATGTTGATTTATTTTTGATCCCTGTTTTTTGTCGATCTCTCAGCCCACCACCACCACCACCACGACCACCACCACCACCACCAGGGTTTGCAGTTCAGGAGTTCGGAGTGAACCCAATCTACTCCCCAAAACCCCTGTCTTGTGAGACTCCCAAATGCCAGGCCGGTCATATGGCCGAGGCTGTCGTAACTTTGAGCAGTGAAGCCAAAGCGCTGCGGGCTCAGGAAGACTTCATGTTTCGGTGTTGGCGGCTTTAGTTTTGAGTTTTTTGGATTGTTGGCCAGCCGGGCAGTAAAGAGACGAACGAGCAGTACTTCCAGATTCCAGAACCACTGCAGACGTTTTCCTCTGCCAAGGATTGGACTCTTTGATGTGCCCCTGCCTCAGTTGAGCATGGCTGTAGGCCGCCGGCTTAGCAAGCTTGGTGAGCTTGGTTATCAGTACGGTTCGTGCTTGGTTCCCTGACGGGCGACAGACGAAGCTTACCGATCCTTCAAGCAGAGAGCTCATGGGCCTTGCGTCCTTAACCATGCAAGCCTGAATGTTTTATCCTTGGTGACTCCAAGGAAGCACAAGATTCTGGGCGTCAGAAACGAGGTGATCCAGAAAGCAGAAGTCTCTGCTAAGGCCGCTAGCAACTTTATAACAGCTGTTGTCAGGGGTTTGGGGCTTCCGTTTTTGGGCCTAGGGGTTTAACGAGTTTAGGGCTTATGGAGTTCGTACGAGTTGTCTGTCAGGTACGGTGTAAAGTGTAGGCTGTAGGGTTTCTAGGGCCCGGGGACAAACATTGCGCTATCCTTTCACTTTGAACCCACTGAAGCCCTAACACCTCCTGAAGCCCTAAGCCCCAGGCCTTAGACTTAGTGGGTAGGGGTAGAAATAGGCTTATCAAAGAGAAGGGCAAGTCTTTGATTAATTAATACGTGAACACAACATACATTCCTTTGTATTGTATATGCACACATTTGCACACTCATATATCTGTATACATGCATGCATACATACAGATAGAGACAAACAGACGACAGACAGCCAGCGAGGGCCGGGATCTTACGCAAGCCCAAACACAAGCTATAAACCCCATAACGTAGCGCGTGCTCCTGTTTTTATTGACCTTCAGGGGTACTTTAAACCCTATACACCCAACCCCGACCCTTGCCTAAATGAAGGCCAAGCCCAAGGCAGAAAATAAACCGTAAACCCGAACCAACCTACACCCCAAACCCTCCTAAGCCCTTGTCGAATCGAAGCCTCATACCTTTTAACTTTTAACCTTAAACCCTAAACCCGAAACCCCGAACTCAAAAGCTCGAGCCAAACCCTAAACCCCAAAAGTCAACCCCACAACCACCCCACAAGGGAAGAGGGACCCCACACCCCACTCCGGGCAAGGGTGGGGGCATACGGGACCATGGACGATGGGAGGGAGGGGGCGGGGGAGCGCCTGACCATACGGACCGGCATACATACACACTGGCACACTACATACAGGCAGTAACAGAGTACATGCATACATCAAGCCCGCAGATATGATCGCACTTGCTCAGCCCCCCAACGCCCGCTTTTGGAGACACCTAAAGGGCTTGCGATTGTCGTGTTTAGTGTCGAGCGTTGAAGGTTTTAACAAAACTTACGGAGTTTGTGCTTACGGGCTTTTGGTAACAGGATGTCTGAGTTGATGACCTTCGGTTACTTGGAGGGTTGGGGGCTAGCTGTCTAGCTGTTGGTGAGACACCTGTTTGATCTTTTCGGTACGGGGGTTGCCCAGATCATCGCAATGCTGTTTTTGTGCTTGTGATGGTGGCTGTACATCTTGCTGGAGTTGTTCTTCACAAGCCTTGTCTTGCGACGCCGAACAACCGGGAGTACAAAGAGGAGCATGAATAAGTAGGGCGCACTTAGGAGGGAAGAGAAATTATTTTCGAAATGAGATCCCGTAGTAGTGCCGACAAAAAACTTCTACTTATTCTGAACATGGAGCCTGGGATTCCGCTTGCTGGGTTCAGAGAAGCATCGACACTAGCCGTGAGCGCCCCATCAGCTCCAGACCTCGGGGTTCAAAGCCTCTCCTCTCTGCAGCTGACTTTGGAAGGATTCCGCAAGCCAAAGGAAAGAACTCAAGGAGATTCTTGGCCTTGCATGTCAGTCGAAGGTCCGGGCATTGGTGGATCCCAACACTCAACGCAAACTCCATGTGAGAGCTTGGTTCCTTCATGCCCCTTGTTACAGGCTTTTGGACCGTTCTGGTGCTACCACAACATACGTAAAACCCGCTAAACTTATATATACTAGCATTACTGGTATATTCTGTACACACCCAAATAGCTAAAAGGATGAAGCACAGGTCCATTGACGGTATCTGAGAAAGGTGGTAAAAAGGTAGCACACCAAGAGAAAGGTAGATATAAGGCATTCGGGCAGTTGGCAGGACCAGGCCTCCATGGCCTGTGTTTTTCGGTTTCTCCTGGTCGCTACACCTTTGTTTTACTTTTCCTGGCACCTTCCTTTTACCCTTGATTTTACAGGCCCGCTTTGCTTTGCCTTTTCTGCTCACACTGTTTTTGCTTTTTGTTGCCAGTCCCACTTGTTGTTTCACATGTTTTCGTGTTCTTACCTTCTTGTTTTTCCTGTGCTTTACCTTTTCCTAAGAAGACGACGGTAAATTTTGAAGGGGGCGAGGTGGGGGCTGGAAAGGCAAAACGAACATGAGAAAAAAGCTGGCACGCGCCCGCCATGCAGTCCTCGATGACACCTTTCTTCTACCTTTTGCCTGTACACGTATTTTGCCTTCTGCTGAAGAGGGCACCTTGTTTTGCCTTTTCCCGAGGAGGGCACCTGTCTTTTAAATCAATTGCCGCTTTATTTTGCCTTGTTTCTTCATGTTAAACATGTATGTTGAGATCGCAAATGCCAAATATTTTTCATGCTGCTACACACCGTTACATGCAATTAGGCTCCCGCATAATACCGAACTCGCTCGCTCACGGCGAAGCATGGAATTGATGCAGGGTTGTTCTGCCGCGCAGAGCAGCAGTATATTCTTTGTGCACGACTTCTGGGTTCCAGGGTCCCTGGGCGCTAATCTAGTACGTGCAGAGCCTCAATGTTGAGCAACCCACTACAGACTACAGCAGCATGGCATAGCATGTCCACTTCGCAGTTGCTGTATGTACAGTGCAGCACCAGGGCTCATCCCAGAAGCTTCCTAAGGGCTGGTCATATTAAGGTTCCAGTTTACATATGTCAGGGTCAAGTGTTTAAGGATTTAGAGGTCAGCGTGCCTAGGGTTGTTGTTCGCGAGTTCGTCAGCTGCCTGCACACTCGGTTCAGCTTCCGACGAGGGGAATGCATTGCCGGACCTTGGGCGCAATCATGCCTAGATTCTCATTCCTCTGGGCAATTGTTGTTCCAACGGCAGGTGCTCTGAGATTGGCTCTTGCCTGTCACAGAATCAGGCGGCAGTTATTTATTGTTGTGTTTGCAAGCAACTTGAGGGTGATGATCAATCACAAGCTGCGAACTCTGGACAGTACTGGTACTCGATACTGCAGGTAATGCTCACTTTCAGAAGACAGCATCTCCTCACAAGAGCCTGTAATGCATGTACTAGCTGCAATCATGCGAGACGGGTCATGAACGGGACAAAAGGGTCACAGTGCTGAGTAAAGTGTCCGAAACATACCAATGCTGATCCATAAATCCGCACACCCAACGCCCCGATGCAAGCTCATGCCCCACTCTCAAACCATCCTCAAAGTTGCTACCAGCTGCTACTCTTGCGACACCCACATCCAAGCGCTGAACAAAAACGAAGGGTCACCGGTACAGTGTCACCCTCTGAGAACGCTCCAAGGATCCACGAGTTGGCCCGCAGCTCTCAAGCGCTTGTAAAGGAGGTCGCGTTGCCTCAAGGATTCACGGTCTAGGGTTTAGGGTTCGGGGTTCTAGGACCCCTTGTCGCGAGGCCCATGGCGCCAAAGCTGCACAAAATCCTTTGGCCCGAGACCGTAAATCGTAATCAAACTCTGAACCCTAAAGCTCGAGAGCCTTACACCGAAAGTCCAATGTCATGTCTTGAGATGTCGCTCAACATGCTGTTCCCATTGTCCTGCTACCCGTGGTATACGGATAGAAGGTGTGAGTCCTCAGCCTTTGGGGAGCTTGTTGTCAAATCTGGGATCTGGTGAAACCCAGGATGACTGGAGGGTCGATGCGAACCCTGGAACCCTCAAGCCTTAAACTTAAACCCTGACCTACTTGAAGGTGCAGAAGGACGTTGCGACAGTGCGTGACGACGTCACAGTCATGAAAGCTCAGGCACTAGCTTGCCATGCCAAGCTGGGCTTAGGTCTTAGGGCTTGGATAATGATATAGCTGCAAGATTTAGGTTATTGGGTTTAGTTCAGGCATGCCCCAGCTACGGGTGACTCTGGCTCCGTGGCGCTACGTACCAATCCTAGAGCCTGAATCTGCGACACTCATCCCTGAAAGTCTGCAACGAAGGCGTGGGTCTCAAGTGGTCTCAACAGATCAGCAGCACCTTCGTCAGATGGCCCAGCCCTGCATGCCCCAACCTCAAGTTCGAAGTACCAGAAGCCACGACCACACTCTAAATGCCTCTAGGCGTCATGCAAATCCTCGAACTGTAGCATGCCTGAAGCAAGTTCTCAGACATCGTAGATGCATCAGTGTTCGTATGTACATTCGCATATATGTATGCACATATATATATATATAAGTACATACATACATACATACATACATACATACATACATACATACATACATAGGTATGTATGTATGTATGTATGTATGTATGTATGTATGTATGTATGTATCCAAGTTTTACATACTCACGCATCCGTCCATCCATCCATGCACGCACGCATACATACATAGTTGTTGATCTGTTAATCCCCACCGGACTCTTTCACCGGTGTAGGCTCGTCCGCAGCATTTGGCCGAGAAACCGATGCCCAGAATCCTAGACCGGAAGCATGAAAATTGGCTGTCCTTGCGTGCAGAACTCTTGTCCTGGCTCAAGATTCGGTGATGACGATGCTGAGATTGGACATTTGATGTTGGTGATGACGATGATGCTGACGATGATGTTGCTGGTTATGGTGCTGGTTAGGATGAAGCAGAAGATGATGATGGTAGAGACGAGATGAAGGTGATGAAGGTGATGATGCTGTTGGTGATAGCGAGTGTGGCATTCTTGGGCGTGCTAGTGATGTGGATGATACGATCTCCAAATTCTTGTTGATTCCGAAACCCAAACCCCGAACCCTGCGGCCACAGATCGGCAAAGTCCTGGTCAAACTGGAAGAGCACTCCAAGAGCCAAGAGCAGGAGCTTTGATTAGCAACATGGGATGTGTCATCGTGTGTCCTAGGGGTGGGAGTAGGAGTAGGGGTAGGAGAAGTAGTAGCAGTAGTAGCAGTAGCAATAGCAGTAGCAGTCGGAGTGGGAGTAGGAGTAGAAGTAGGAGTAGTAGTAGTAGTAGTAGTAGTAGTAGTAGTAGTAGTAGTAGTTGTTGTTGTTGCAGTTGTAGTAGTAGTAGTAGTAGTAGTAGTAGTAGTAGTAGTAGTAGCAGTAGTAGTAGTAGTAGTAGTAGCAGTAGTAGTAGTAAGTAGCAGTTGCAGAAGCAGTAGTAGCAGTAGTAGCAGTAGCAGTAGTAGCAATAGTAG